TTGAGTTCAAATAAAAATTCTAGGCTTCCCTAGTCTGCAGCCTTGGGAAGAGATTCTATTTCTCTGAATGTCAACTTTTTTTTTTTTTTTTTGTCTTTTTGAAACAGGCTCTCCCTGTAGCCCCAGCTGGCCTGGAACTCACTATGATACCTTAAACTCACAGAAATCCGCCTGCCTCTGCCTCCCAAGTACTGGGACTACTACAGGCATGAGCCACCATGCTAGGCCTTGAATATCAACTTTTTTTTTTTTTTTGGCTTTTTGAGACAGAGTCTCTCTGTAGTCTCAACTGGAGTCACAGATGGTTGTTAGCTTCCATGTGGGTGCTGGGAATTGAAACTGGATCCTCTATAAGAGCAGCCAATGCTCTTAACCACTCAGCCATCTCTCCAGTCCCTCATTTATTTATTTGTATTTTATGAGTAGGAGTGTTTTGCTGGCATATTCGAAACATACCTGTGTTGTGCAACATCCACAGAGGCCAGAAGAGGGTATCAGATCCCCAGAACTGGAGTTATAGATGGTTGTTAGCCACCATGTGAGTGCTAGGAACCCAACCCAGGTCCTTTGCAAGAACAGCCAGTGCTCTTAACCACTGAGCCATCTCTCCAGCCCCACAAAGGAGAGGTTGGACATGGTGATGCAGACTGATAGTCCCAGTGCTTGTGTGACTCTTGCAATTAACCAGGTAACAGATGATGATGGCTTGGATCTAACTAGCAGTAGTGCAGGTGGCAAAACGTGACTAGATTCTGGACTTGTTTTAAAGGCAGGAGGATGGGGAGTTTGAGGACAGCTTGGACTACATAACAACTCTGAGGCCAGCTACATAACAAAATCTGTCTTTATTTTAAAGATTTGTTTTCATAGCCGGATGTGGTGGTACAGGCCTTTAGTCCCAGCACTCAGGAGGCAGATTTCTGAGTTCAAGACCAGCCTGGTCTACATAGTGAGTTCCAGGCCAGCTGGGAACAACAGAGAGACTCTAAATAAATAAATAAATAAATAAATAAATAAATACCAAATAAATGATTTGTTTTTATTTTTTGTGTATGAGTGTTTTGCCTGAATGTATGTATATGTACCATGTGTATACCAGAAAAGGGCATCAAATTCCATGGAGCTGGAGTTGTAAGCTGGAAGTGGGTGCCAGAGACCAAATCCAGAGTCCTCTATAAGAACAGGTAGTGTTCTTAACCACTGTGTCACCACTCCAGTCCCCACAGGACCCTGTGTTAAAAGACAGAATTCTAAAACAAAGCCTTTGGTGATGTCATACAGACAAGATAGACGTGTGGCCCAATGAGAGCACTTGTCAAGCATATTCAAGGCCATGGTTTTGATTCCTAGCTCCACAAACCAAACTGACCAAAAATATCCTTCTTCTGACTCGCCTCTGTATTCAAGGGTCTCAGGAATCTGGCTATTAATGGCCTTCACCCCAGCTTCTCTTTCTCCATTCATTTTCACTGTTCCAGATTTTCCACATTAGTCTTGTCTTCATCCTTGCTTTCCTGGTATTTATTCTTTCATTCCTTCAGCAAATATCCAATGTTATCTCACACCAGACACTGTGTTAGGTGCTGAGGGTAGACAGTCAAGACACGAAAATCTCTGCTTTCATGGAGGTCGCATTTCCAGTCAGAAAGAGGCAAGTAATTTCTTTTAAGGGCTAAAATACACAGTATTCTAAATGTGGTTTGGAGGTAAAAAAAAAATTAAGCAGGGAAGGAGGCTGGTGGTGCTGGAGGTACATAGTTCAGTTTTAAATAATGTAGTCAGAGTGGATAGGGAGCTGAAGTAAGAACATTCTAGGCAGAAGGAACAAATTCAAGAGTCAGGAAAGCACCAGAAATTTTCAGGGCAATCAAAGTAGCCAATGTATATAACACAGTGCAACCCAAAGGGCCAGCCGTGCAAGATCAGATCAACCAGAAAGGGACTGAAAGGGTAGTGTGAGGGCTTATTGACTCCTTTGTACACACGTCATTTGGGAGATATTGGAGAACTTTGGGAAGGGGAGAGTCATAATCTGATACACATTTAAATTTTTTATTTTATGTATATGAATGCTTTGCCTGCATGTATGTAAGTGTACCATGTGCATGCAGTGCTTGTGGAGGCCAGAAAAGGATGTTGGATCCGCTGGAACTGGAGTTACAGCCAGTTGTTAGTGGGAACTGAACCCAGTTCCTCTGCAAGAGCAGCCAGTGCTCTTAACCGCTGAGTCATTTCTACCTACATTAAAAAAAAAAACTTAATGTCTATGAGTATTTTACCTGTATGTAGGTAAGCGCATCCATGTCATACAATGCCAGTCAAGATGCCAGAAGAGGCTATCAGATCTCGTGGAACTGGAGTTATGGACAGCTGTTAGCCACCTTGTGGGTGCTGGGAACCAAACCTTGGTCCTCTGGAAGAACAGCAAATGCTCCTAATCACTGAGCTATCTCTCCAACCAGTTATACATATTTTTATATGTAGGATAGCATAACAAAATTTACCATTTCAGAGCTGGAAATGTAACTCAGTGGTGGAGTGTTTGCCTAGCACAATGACAGGTTAAATACCATAATACAAAAAGAAATCTTACCTATTTTTGGTTTGATGGTTCATGAACGAAATCAGTTCAGCAGTGTTATGTGTATTTACATTGCTCTGTAATGTGGCTGTCACCGTCATTCATCTCCAGAACTTTTTTGGCTTCCCAAGCTGAAGCTCTGTACCCTATGTTCTATTTTCCCCGAGCCCTTAGTAACCACAATTCTTTTATGAATTTTACTACTTTACCTCTCTTAAATGTATAATCTAATAGTTATTCTTTTGTGCCTGGCTTCACTTAGCATGCCTTTCAAGATTTGTTCATGTTATATGTCAGAATTTCCTCCTTTTTAAGGTTGAATAATAGTCCATTAGGAGCACATTACATATTTTATTTATCCATTCATCCAGCAATGGACCTTTAGATTTCCTCCATGTTTTGATTATTGTGAGTGATGTTTCTGTGAACATGGGTGTTCAACCATCTGTTCAAGTTCCATTTTTAGTTCTTTGGGGTATATGCCAATGGCTGGATCATATAGTAATTCTGTTTAATTTTTTGAGAAAATGCTGTATCACAAAAAAAGTTGTGCCATTTTCATATTCTCACAGTTTGTTTTTTGTTGTTTTACTAGCAAGACAAATTAAAACTAGATTTAGGGAGGGCCAAAGTGGATAGAGGCTATACCAGTTAAAAGGCTCTTGGGGGCTGGACATGGTGGCACACACCTTTAATCCCAGCACTCGGGAGGCAGAGGCAGGAGGATCTCTGTGAGTTCAAGGCCAGCCTGGTCTACACAGTGAGTTCCAGGACAGCTGGGGCTACAGGGAGACCCTGTCTCAAAAAGACCAAAAAAAAAGAAAGAAAAAGAAAAAGGCTCTTAGGACTGGAGAGACAGCTCAGTAGTTAAAGAACACTGGCTGCTTTTACAGAAGACCTGGATTCAATTCTCAGAACCCACGTGACAGCTAACAACCCTCCATAACTCCAGTTTCAGGGGATCCAACACCCTCTTCTGACCTCTGAGGGCGCTGCATAAGATGGGTGCATTTACATTCATGCAGGCATAACATAAACATACACATAAAATTATATATATATATATATATATATATTTTTTTTTTAAAGAGCCTCTTAAAGTCGGGAGGGCATGGTGTCCTGAAAGCCACTAGAAGAATGCTTTTGGGAAAGGAGGAAATGGTCAACTGAGTCATGTAAGGCATTGCCGGTTTAATTACGAGGATTATTAAAAATCGGCCATTGCCCTTGAGGACCTTAACAAAACCTACTTCAATGAATTGTGAGGCAAAAACATGACTGAAAATAATTCAATAGATACTGAAAGAAGCAGGAGACAGTAACAATTCAGGCGTTTTGATGTGTGGTGCCAAAAGAGGGTCAGTTTTTAAGCCAGGCATGGTGGCATACACCTGTTATCCTAGCACTGGAGAAGCTGAGGCAGGAAAATAGTTAAAAGCCAGCTTGACTACACAGCAAGATCCAAGCTGGTCCTGGCTCCATAGCAAGACCCTTTTTCATGAAAACAAAGTAAAAAGATTGGGTTTTGTTTATCTTTAAGACAGGAGAAACCATATATATATGAATACTCTCTTTTTAAAGACACATAGGGCCGCATGGGGCAATCAGGGGGAGAATTACTATTTGGTAGACAGGGATAAAGGGGCGGGGTTGACCTGAGCTTTAAGTTCATGCTTTAGGAGAGAAGGCAAAGTACAGCGGAAGCGGGTGTGAGGCCTGATGGAGGCGGGATCTACAGAATTCCCCGCTCCAACTCCATAGAGCTCAATCTCTCTCTTTTAATCGGTCTCTGGTCTCCTCCAGCTCATGTTGTGTTAAGCTGGGCAACCGAGAACTGTGATTACTGAATACATATCGGCCTCTCCACTCGGTACTGGAGGTCCATTAGAGGGTGGCCCCAAGTAGCCTTTGAAGTTTCCTCACAACCCTCCAAGCTCGGGCCGGGAGCCCTGCAATCTGAGAGTGGAATGAGCACTAACAGACCCGGAGCGGCAGCTACGCAGCGGGTTTCACAAAAGGCGGCGGTCCCAGCCCTGTGTTCGAGGAGCTCCGCGTTCGAGCCACCCCACCCCCACCCCCGCCCCCGCCCATTCTGCCTTCTACTTCCGGTTGGCAGTTCAGCAAACCGGCTGATCGTGGTCCAGAGAGGCCACCGTAGGTGCCGTCAGGCGCGACCGAGGAAGATTCGAGGTTGGTAGGGGCGGAACCCAAAGGCAGTCTTGAAGAACGATTGGATCGAGAGATCGGAGGCGGAGTCTAGAACCGAGCTGGGGACTCAGATTGGACAGAGCTCTGGGAAGCGGGGCCTAGTGACGGAAGGGGCGGGCACTGAGCGGAGGGCGGTCCCTGGGCGAAGATTGGGCCGCGCGCTCGGGGGCGGGGCCTGAGGGGGCGGGGCCGTGTCGGAAGTCAAAGGTCGGTAAATAGTGATGATGTCATGCAGGCAACATGGCGGAAGGGTGAGCTCGTCACTCTGCTTCCTGGCGTCCGGGCCTGGAGCCTCCTGGGGTTGGGGCACGGAGCCAGGGTCGCCGTGGAGGACCGGACCACGCACGGGCGTGGATGAATCCGGAAGGGCTGGGTGGAGCCGCCGGGAGAGGGGGCAGGAGGCGGCCCGTGGAGCCGCAGCTCCAGGAGCAGCACTGTGGGTCCGTGGTGGGTTGGAGTCCCACGGCCCACCGCAAACTGTGTTTTGTCTTCTGCAGGGAGGACGTGGGGTGGTGGCGGAGCTGGCTGCAGCAGAGCTACCAGACAGTCAAAGAGAAGGTAAGCCAGCACCCTTCTGCCCTCGGCGGGGTTCCCTCCTGGCCATTAGGTCCAGACAGCCGTGCCTGACTTTTTCCAATCCCTTTGAGGCCATCAGTTAAAGAACTCGAGGGAAAAGGATTCCGGGAATGAGAAAAAAAAAAAGCTTACTCATAACCCATTCGAATATTACACTATCTGACAGCCACCAGTCTCTGACAGGTCGGGAGGGTACAGACCTTAGCCAGATAGACAGTCTTGAGCCTCACCAAGCTCAACCTGGAGAGGAGGCAGTCATTAACCAAACAAAAAAGTTACTGTTGTATATACTGGGAAAGGAAGTACCTAACATCTGTCTTGGCTAGACACATGCCAAAGAAGATGTAGCAAATACAAAAACAAGAACCCAGGCCAGAGAGGAGGATCATTCGCACACACTGGTACCTGATAAATGTTGAGTGAGGGGTTTGCAAATGGGAGTAGAGAGGTTGATGGCCAGAGAGGGGAGACTTTGAAATGTCTGGCTAAGTGATTTCTTGTGGCCTAAATAATGAATGCTTGGTCCTGACAGTGGGCAGTACCCTGGATGTTCTTGTTCTAGCCCGTGTTTGTTAGTTAAAACCAGCACTACTAACTTGTGGAAAAACTAATTACTATGTACCTCAAGCGAGATGATCCCTGCTTCAGGGCAGACTCGAGACTTCTGGTCTCAAATCAGCCCCCTGCGTTGGGAGCATTTTTTCTTCCCTTGGCCTGTGCACTTCTGGACTGCTGCTCAGCTACAGCCCAGCACATCTGAGAATTCACTGAGCTGTTTATTTCCTTGAAGACTAAAGAAGGAAGATGTCACTATAAGGTTTGACATGAGACTCCCCCCGACACACACAAGTAGCTCGTTTCCTGCTAAGCAGTTTCTAGAAGGATAGTGTGGCATTCATTCAGGTGGTTCACAAGGGCTTCCTGTGTGTTTCAGGGTTGCTCTTACCATAGCTCATGGAAAATAGCTGGTCAGCCTTCCATCTTTGTTCTTGGGGAATTCCCAGTTTGAAGCAAATGGTGAAAGGTGGTGTCACTGCTGTGTTGCATTAGAAGACATTTAATCTCTCTCTCTTAGTTATTTGCTCTTATTGGAATGTAGGCAAGTTATTTGACCTCCCTAGGCCTCATATCCTCAACTGTAAAGTGAAATAATAACACCTAAGTGGGATCATCATCAGGATTAAATGAAAATATATGTGAAGCATTAAGGGCAGTACCTAGCACTATAAGTACCACATAAGCTGCTTTTATTAAGTGCTGAGGGTGATGGAGAAACTTAGTCACCAGTACCAGTCCATTTTTTCCTTCTGTTTTTTTCTTGGTCTTCTGGTACTTCAATTGTCCCACTTCCCATCCTGGTTCTATTTGGATGACTGCCTTCCTTGCTCCCTTAGCAGACTAAAGGAGCCTACAACTCTGTTGAGGCTTGCCTTTCCTGTGCCTCATCTCTCCTAGGCATCTTCCTGTACATTTATGCACCCACCTGTGTACATGTGCACAGTACAACAGAAGGGCACATTTGCTCCTTATTGCCACCAGATTCCCTAATCTCATTGGGGCAGAGCACTCCCCAACAAACCTTTTCTCATTTGTTTCTCTTTCCCTTGACTTCAGAAACACTTCCCTCAAGGCCTTATTCTGCAGCCTCACATAATTTTAGAGTAGGAAGTCAACAAGCTTGATCTAGGTTAACTCCCTCCCCACCCTTGAAGCCTGTACACTTATCTGTGGTCACACTCAGCTTCACACTTGCCAGCATTGGGTGGATTTTAGCCCTTATCTCTCTGACGTCCCTGCAGCATTTGGCACTAACAGTTACTCCCTTTTTCTTGAAACTTCACTTTTGACTCTTGTGACATAATTATCTCTCAGTTCTCCATATGCTTCTTCAGATTTCCTTGTCCTTGTTGCGCTCCTGTTCCTCTGCCTGCCCTCTGGCTGTAGGGTTCTGGGGTGCTTTGCCCTTAGCTCACCGCTGTGTTCACTCTTCAGATTTCATCCTGATCTTCTCCCCTTCGTGTTAAAGAGATTTCTGTTTCTTTTCCCTGAGCTATGGCCTTTAAGGATACCTCTTGCTGGATTACAATCCCAGATATCCCATGATCTCCTTGGAGCCCGCATGCCTTCCTGGTTAGCTTTCGTTGTCAACCTGACACATCTAGGGAGAGGGACCCTCAATTGGGGAATTCTTTAGGTTTGGTCTGTAGGTATAACTGTGAGACATTGTCTTGATTGTTGAGTGATGTGGGAGGCCCCAGTGCACTGTGAGTAGTGCCACCTCTGGGCAGGTTGTCCTGGGTTATATAAGAAAGCAGACTGAGCATAGGCCAGAGGAGCAAGCCAGTAAACAGCATTCCTCTGTGATCTATGCTTCAGTTCCTTCCTCCAGGTTCCTCCTCTGTGTTCCTACCTGACTTCCCTCAAAGGTGGACTGTCACTTGGAAGTTTAAGATGCAATAAACACTTTCCAAGTTGCTTTTGGTCAGTGTTTTATCACAGCTACAGAAACCAAATTAAGACAATGCCCAAAACTCTTAAGAACTTACTCTTCTATATTTTCTCACTTGGTTGACAGCACTAAATCTTTCCAATCACCTATTTTAGCAGCTCTTCCTTGATTCTTTGCCCTCAGTCAGCATATCTATTTAACCATCAAATCCACTTTTTCCCCCTAGTACTTCTTGTTTTATACTTTTAAGAGAGTCTTACTGCAGGGTATGGTGGTACACGCCTTGAATCCCAGCATTTGGGAGGCAGAGCCCAGCAAATCTCTGACTTTGAGGCCAGCTGGGGCTGTAGGGAGACCCTGTCTCAAAAAGACCAAAAAAAAAAGAGTCTGGCCAGGTCTCCCAGACTGTCCTTGAACTCATGATCCTCTGCCTCAGCCTTTTGCCTAGCATTTCTTTTCCTTTTTTTAAAGATTGATGTATTAGGCATGGTGGCGCACGCCTTTAATCCCAGCACTTGGGAGGCAGAGGCAGGCGGATCTTTGTGCGTTTGAGGCCAGCCTGGTCTACATAGTGAGTTCCAGGCCAGCTAGGGCTACAAGGAGACCCTGTCTCAAAA